TTCTACAAGAACTGGAAACACGGGTTTTTCAGTCCTACATGCCAAAATTCTGGATGCGCTATGTAGATGACACCTTTGTCATCCTACCTCAAGACATGAAAGAGACGTTCAGAAGCAAATTGAACTCAATTTTCCCCCAAATTCAATTCACAATGGAGGAAGAAAAGGACGGGGAAATCCCCTTTCTGGATGTCCAGGTGTCGAGACAGGAAGACGGAGCCCTCCAAACTGGTGTCTTTCGAAAGGCGACCGATACGGCGAAAATCCTCCATTACAGCAGTAACCACCCCTTGTCACATAAACGCAGTTGCGTGCGGACACTCTTCCTACACGTCAACACACACTGCAGCGCAGAGGCTGAAAATCTGCGAGAGCGTAAATCCCTATGGCGTCTCTTTCTCTCCAATGGGTACCCACGCAGCTTCATAAACAAATGCCTGTATCAAAGGCACATGAAGACCGACGGTGAACAAAAACAAAAACCTGAATTCTTCCGTGCTTTGCCCTACGTGAGTGACGTTTCCGAAGCCACTGAACGCATGCTCAGACCACTCAACGTGGGCCTTGGACACCGGCCGGAGGTCACTATCCGCCGCTTACTCATGCAGCCCAAGGGGCGGCTACCAACTGAGGACACGTCAGGAATTGTTTGCCGCGTCAACTGTCTAGACTGTCCAGCCAATTATTGTGGCATGACAGACAAACGATTAAGGTCGCGCATGCATGAGCATTCTCTAGCTTTAAAGCGAAAAGATGTACGATCACATGTTGCCATGCATAGCCTCGAAAATGACCATCAATTCGGCTTCGACAAGGCAGAAGTAATCGGTCGAGCTGAAAGCAAAATGGCGAGAGAGCTAATCGAGGCCTGGCAATCCAACGCCAACTCGATCAACCGTAGGATCGACCTACCGGCGCCATATGAGGCCGTCAGACACCACTTGAGCAGGAAGGGAGGACCAATGGGAAGAGAGAACAATGGACCTATCAGTACTGAGTAAGAAAGACCTATTTAAACCTTGTATTCCCACTTTTAATCTATGTCCGATGATGCTCTCAAGTATGAGTGTGAAACGTCAGATGAATAAATCATCCTCCCCAGAGATCTCTTTACCTACTTCCATATATATATATATATATATGGATGTAGGCGAAAATGCTGACCCCAGGTGTTGAAATTGAAGAAGATGGTAAGGCGAGCTCTGGGGATGATGATTTATTCATCTGACGTTTCACACTCATACTCGAGCGCATCATCGGAGATAGGAAATATTAGAAAGTTACACGGTTTAAATAGGTCCCTCTCGCTCTCGCCTGATNGGATTTGTGGGAAGATGGAGTTTAATTCTCCTCTGAAGGCCTCCTTCGCATCTCGGTGTAGGACGACAAAGGTATCGTCCACATAGCGCATCCAGAATTTTGGCTTGTAGGACCGAAATACACGAGTTTCCAGTTCCTGTAGTACCGCCTCAGCCAGGTAGCCGGAGATCGGGGATCCCATCGGGGTTCCCTGGATTTGCTCATAAGTACGGCCGTTAAAAGTGAAATACGTGCATAAGCAGTAGTCCAGTAACTCCATCGCGTGCTTCCTTTTAAACGGTTTTTCTTCATCGTCGTACTTTCGTTCCAGTAGCTCACTGATGACTCTCATGGCTAAATCCTTAGGGATGGAGGTGAACAAAGAGACGACGTCAAAGG